TCAGGTGCTGGCTCTCCTCCAGTATCTGCTCCTCCAGGCGTCTCCTCCCCATGCCCAGGTCTCGGAGTGTGTTCACCGTGAACCCGCGCAGCTGCTCCCAGCGCCGCCCGTTGCTGATGGCCAGACCTGGGAGAGGGAGCGAGAGAGGACAGCGGCCGGTCAAGGTGCACAGGACCGCAACACCCAATCCCGTCGTCCTGGCGCGCCGCCTGTGAGGAGAACCGGAGGACTGTCAGGCCGGTGGGCACGCACTGACCGTAGCCCTTGGTCAGGCGCTGCAGGAAGGGGAACGGCGCTCGGCCAGTGAAGTCGTCGGACTGCTGCAGCAGCGCGTCCCGGACCGCCTCGTACCCGACCAGAACCACCGTCCTCTGCCCTCCCAGGTACACGGTGAGCACAGGCCCATAGCGCTCACTGAGCTGAGAGAGAGAGAGGGGTTTCACAAACACACCGCCACTCTCTGACACTCCTAGTGAGTCTCACGCTCTCCCACACTCACCCTGACGAAGCTCTCGAATGGGGCGTCCTTGTCCATCTGCAGGATGTTTCCCAGCAGTGGGAGGGGTGTGGGCCCGGGGGGCAGCCGGCGCCTCGGATTCCTCCTGCTCCGGGTCAGGAATCCAATCACAGCCAGAACCGCAGCCACCAGAACCAAGCAGCTGGTCAGCCCCATTCCCGAGAGTCAGTCCGAGCCTCTGTCTGCGGCACTGGGCTCTGTCTGTGCTTTTATCCAGGACCACTGGCAGTGTGGGGCCCGAGAGAGAGAGTGTGTGTGTGTGTGAGAGAGAGAGAGACTTTGTGAGTGTGTGTGAGAGAGTTTTTTTTGTTTTGTTTAATGTAAATATCATTACTTTCATTTGCTTCGGCAACACTGATTGTACCCATCGGTCATGCTAATAAAGCACCTTGAATTGAAAGACTGACTGACTGACTGACTGACTGACTGACTGACTGTCTGTCTGTCTGTCTGTCTGTCTGTCTGTCTGTCTGTCTGTCTGTCTGTCTGTCTGTGTTGGTGTGTGTTGGTGTGTGTGTGTGTGTTAACAAGGCTCTGCATGGCTGAGGGACAGCAGTGCAGAGGGAGACAGCACCAGTACACTCAGTCAAGGTCTGGTCAGCCAACAGCACAGCTTCGACGAGTCTCGGAGTCGGTGGAGACCTGACCAGGGACTGGAGACCGGCACCAGTCCCTCGAGACACTACCTGATTTCAGCTCTCTGCTGAAATTGTGAAGCCGGTGAGAACATGTGTGACATGAGACAGGAGCTCCAGCAGGTTCAGCTCCTACTGGGTCCCAGCAGTCGGCCAACAGGGCCAAAAGAGGAGTCCAGGAGCCTACCTGCACATGACTGGGTCTTTCGTTTCACCCCTTCATGGGTCTTCGTCTTGTCCTATGACGTGTAGCATGAGTTGACCAGTTTGTCCTGTCCTTTGATGTGTAGCGTAATTGTTGGAGCTGCTTAAGATATGTTAAGACAGCTGACATATTACACAATGTGTTTGAATTAATACTGTAGTGTTGGATACAGATAAATTATATATATATATATTTTCCGTCAATAAAATATATATACACAGTATAAGTGTATTGTGTTCTACTTCAGATGGTATATTTTACCTGATTTATATATATTTAGTATGTTTTCTTGCTTATCACACATGAAGGTCTCTTATGTGTCAATGGATTCATGCTGTCTTTAATGTATTTTGTCTTGTGTGTTGTGTCTCTTACCTGCCTGAAAAACAAATTTCCCATCTGGGACAATAAAAGGAAGAAAGAGTTTGTGAGTGTGTGTGAGTTTGAGTGTTTGTGCAAGTGTGTGTATGTGTGTGTGAGTTTGAGTGTGTGTATGTGAACGTGTATGTGTGTGTGCGAGTGTTTATATGTGAACGCGTGTGTGTGTGAGTTTGAGTGTGTTTGTGCGAGTGTGTGTATGTGAACGTGTGTGTGTATGAGTGTGTGAGTGTGTGTATGTGAACGTGTGTGTGTGAGTTTGTGTGTGAGTGTGTGTATGTGAACGTGTGTGTGTGAGTTTGACTGTGTGTGAGTGTGTGTGAGTTTGAGTGTGTTTGTGTGAGTGTGTGTGGGTTTGAGTGTAAGAGTGAATGTGAGTTTGTGTATGTGCTCACCAACAGGCAATGACCCACAGGAGCTGACCCACAGGAGCTCACCAACAGGCACCGATCAATAGGCACTGACCCACAGGAGCTCACCAACAGGCAC